TCAGGCAACGAAAAAATATCAGGCAACGAAAGTTCAAGTCGATTAAACATGCGAAAACAATAAAAACAGAATTTCACTGAAAATGGCCGTTCACTTCCAAATCGATATTAACTTTCCGTTCATTGAACGCAATTACAATTTCACGAATCATCTAAGGTGTGAATATTTTCTTATTGATTCATAATTTTATTTTCGACTCTGCCTTTTGATTATTTTTACCTTTTAATATTATTTGTCAATTGATCACCATTTAGGTCATTTCTTTTGGCTTGCATACATTGGAGATTTTGTATGTAGTTTTCTGCCGAAATTGCAGCCAATTTAATCAACAATTTAATCAACAAGTAAAAAATGTAGAATTATTTTTATTTCTTAATCTTTGTACATATATATGAAGACTTAATCAAAATATATCAATTTCCAAATATCGTATCACAGATATCTAATTCTCTTATGGATGCACGCTGCTAAATATGCACAAGCCATAGTTTAGCGGTGTGCAAGATAGTTCGACGATTAATTGTCGCGAGTTCGCTGATTTCTACTTGTGACATTAATATTAACCTCGCGATAAATATCTGGCGTATATTGACGTAATGACGTATTACACAGGAAACAGAACCAACGTTCTGGGTATGCACGATAAATTACATCCGGTATCAAGGTCTCTAATCAATTGGTTTTGAGGAGCGTGGAACCGCTCTTAATTGCTTTTGTGCACCCTGGCCCGGGGAAATAGCACCTGCTACAATCCCAGCTGTAGGCAAATAGTTAACCTCCAAATTGGGATTAAAACCCAATGAAAGAATAAAAATAGTTTTATAGTAAAAATACCAACAATACATTTTTGGAAAAAAAATATTACCAGCAATGGATTTTTGAAAAAACAAATATTACAACAATACATTTGACTCTCGACAAAACATACTTTACAAACTGATTTCTTACAAAGAATATATCCTATTCATATGAATATATCCCAAAAATCTTGTCAGCATTAAATAACCCAATATTGGTATACCGTAAAACAAAATAAACTTAATAAACCTAAACTGATCCAGTGAACCGAGATCGAATCCCAGCTAAGGCAATTTATATTTATTCAGCAACAATTCCTTTCGGAAATATAAGAATCCATTCTGACCAACCAGTAGATATCTGGGCAAAATGTCTCATCACTGTCATGCCAAGATTTAAGAAATCAAGGCAATAAAAGAAGAGTCTAATTGATTGAGTATAAGGGCAAATTCCCTTCCCCATAAATAATTTATCTGCCTAGGCATTAAAAGCTTAATTCCCTTAGATTAAACGGTGACTGACGTCAATAAAAACGAAAACAAAAATAATAACTGTTTTTAGTTCTTCAATGTATTACAGTGATATAAATATATCTGTAATATATTGTTTATGTATTTCTTACAACTGATATGCATATAGCGTAGCGGATATCGACACGGAATGTGACAATGGGAGATGCATTTCGAATTACAAGCGAGGGCATCGCTTTCGCACAATTACCTTTTGGAAAGATATAAATCCACATTTTTCCATCCAGATGGGGTATCTAGCTTTGGTTTAGAGATCGTCTAGAAGAAGGACAAATCTGAATTCAAATTAGATAGATAGATGTGAACAGACTCTGATAGATAGATAGATCTGAACAAACTGAGATAGAGAGATGTGAACAGACTCTGATAGATAGATAGATAGATAGATAGATAGATAGATAGATAGATAGATAGATCTGAACAGACTGAGATAGAGAGATGTGAACAGACTCTGATAGGTTTGAACAGACTGAGATAGATATATCTGAAAAGAATGAGATACATAGATATGAATAGAGTAACATATATAGAGAGATAAAACAGAGGATGTCTGTCTATCTGTCTGTCTGTGTGATACCTTTTCACTCGAGATCCAAACTTGGCACATACATTGTACAATGTAAGAAACGGGTTCTCAGCGTAAAAAATGGATACTTTTAAAAAAATCTGTAATCGATAAAGCCGATCAAAAATTGATAAATTCAATATTTTCCTCCGATTTCGTTCAAACTCTGTACGTGAGTTACTTGCATCGTGACTTGCTCAACGATATCTCATTTCTAAGTCTACGCCACTGCGTTTCGCGAAAAACCGCGAAAAACGAAAAACAGATTCCAACACAATCGATTTTAATACAGATTTTAAACTAAAACTCCCTCAATTTACAAGCAATCTAATACAAACTTCACTCAGTTGTAACCAACAATAAGTTGATTAAGTCGTCTAACAGTCATTTAACTTGATAATTGAGTCTACCCATATAGTGAAAAGCCGTGTAAATAGCGAAAGCTGGCGATTTTTACTGGTTTCTTTCATATTTTTCATTGATCTTTCAACCAATTTTCTTCAAACTTAGCAGTTGCTTTATAAATGTGTCCTCTTTTACATCTCTGGTAGCACACTGTCAAACTGAATTTCAAAAACTCCAAAAAGTTGCCTGTTTTACTCCTTCATGTCCTCGGCTAACTTCGATTTAATAAATAGACTACTTCTCTTATATCAGTAACTGCATTAATTCAAAATGTTTTTAATGAAACTAATTGAAGATAGACTCAGTTACATCTAAACATGATGCTGTTTTTGCTCCATTCTAACTGAATTTTCTGATTGACCAGTTAGGTATGGTTGCTATATATATATCTATAAAACAGATCTGTGTGTCTCTGTGTGTGTTTATGTTATTTATTCACGTCAACATTTCGTGACCAATTTCGATAAAATTGTACACATCTATTGCAAATTTAGTAACCTATATTAAGACGAAATTTTCAATCTCCAGGCCTCCGGGTTTGGCAGAAAAAAAATTAATAAAATTGAAGGTGGGTATTTAAAAAAAACCAGGCAAAGTTACACGCGAACAAATGTTTTGTTGGATGAGCTGGTGTTCTTTGCATTTAATGCAAAACATAGGTCATGTTACGAGGTTTATGTAGGAACCGGCAATCAAACACAAGCACATGTGATTTGATTATAGTGGTGAAAGCTTTGTGTAGAACCAGCCACGCTGAATACAGAATACGAGCCACAAGGTCCCCAAACTCAAATTTTGAATTCAGAGTTGACCACTCTTAGACCAGTTGCTGTCCAGTCTGTCCTGCTATTTACCCATAGATGGAGGGAGAAGAAGAGGATTCATACCTTTCCAAGGGTATAAGCACGCAAGTGAATGTAATAGATTCCGATGGAATGGAATTGGAACTCGGCTCACCGATTCCAAATCCAAGCCGCTATCCATTACTCTACCGTCCGTATATATATACCCAAGTACATAATTGGTATATACGGAATGAATTCCAATAACCAACAATTACTATTCTTAAAAGAGTGCTCAATACAAAGTAGAGCAGATATAATTATTATTTAAAAAAAAACAAACTTATAACATAAATATGTTATAAAATCACTACAAAAATAACCATTTTGTTTCAACACCCTCGGTGTCTTATCAAGTGATGATGTTGAAGATAAAATAAATGGTTTTAAATGTTTCAGATTAATTAACGATCCTATACTAGGGGGAAACATTTTTACAAAAGCTAGAATAACCAATCAAAAACCAAGTATAGAAAGATTCAAAAGCTTGACAACGAAATCATGTTATAATAGCTATTCAGATCTTTAAAATACGGGTTATATTAAAAAGAATTTATACTAACCAATAATTATAAAATTATATGATAAAATTTAATTGTGTGTGTGTATAGGTGTTGGTTTCCTCGTTTCCCTTTTTCATAAAGGGCTGTGGAGATGTTCCTGTCTCGTCGTTTTTTTGTGTGTGTGTATATATATCTGAATATGTCTGGGTGCTTATGTATTATAATCTGATTTTGTTTTTGTTGTTTTGCGCGTGAGTTTAAGACCACATTCACACACTTTAGAATAAAAAATATATATATACATGTATTGTCAAATGACCGGATATTGTAGCGTCTTGTCGAACGTAATTTCAACGAAAAAATAAATTGAATAACATATGTATTTTTTCTTTTCTCAATAATTTTATAGTTTTTAAACTTAATAGTGATTAAATTTGGATTTTAAAATTGGCAGTTTTCAATTTTAATATTAAAAAATAATTATATATATATATATATATATATATATATATATATATATATTACTACTGTGCCTTCTCATATATATATATTATATATATATATATATATATATATATATATATATATATATATATATAAAAAGCAGATGTGTCTGCAGTAATTCTCTAAGCAAAATGCATGAATCAAGCTGCATGTTGTCTACTGTGTTGCCTTGACAAAACTTTCACTCTGACATCGTGTTGTGATACTCAAAGGAGAGGAAAGTGAATGATTGATCACTTGAATAAGCCATTGTACAAATATCGAACCGAGCTATCTAAGCCGAAGCTCAATAGCAGAAAATTGCATAAACATCAGACTGAATAATAAATGCATAAGACAATTTCGCTCATTTTCATATTTCTTTAAAAGATGCAAGCGCTCAGCTGCCTAACATGTATATCATTTTGTCTCGTTAATGGAGATTTCGTTGTTATATTGATTTGGCCGAAATCTATCTATCTATCTATCTATCTATCTATCTATCTATCTATCTATCTATGAATCCCTGCCTGTTCAAAATCTATCTATCTATCTATCTATCTATCTATCTATGAATCTCTGCCTGTTCAAAATCTATCTATCTATCGATCTATCTATGAATCCCTGCCTGTTCAAAATCTATCTATCTATCTATCTATCTATGAATCCCTGTCTGTTCAAAATCTATCTATCTATCTATGAATCCCTGCCTGTTCAAAATCTATCTATCTATCTATCTATCTATCTATGAATCTCTGCCTGTTCAAAATCTATCTATCTATCGATCTATCTATGAATCCCTGCCTGTTCAAAATCTATCTATCTATCTATCTATCTATGAATCCCTGTCTGTTCAAAATCTATCTATCTATCTATGAATCCCTGCCTGTTCAAAATCTATCTATCTATCTATCTATCTATCTATCTATCTATCTATGAATCCCTGTCTGTTCAATATCTATCTATCTATCTATCTATCTATCTATCTATCTATCATCTATCTGTGAATCCCTGTCTCTTCAATATCTATCTATCTATCTATCTATCTATCTATCTATCTATCTATCTATCTATCTTCAGCCGGGTTTCGATCTTAGCTAGAGGCAACCGGACGTCTAGCCACACTGATGAGTGGTGATACAACGAAACAGTCAGTCTGTGGATGACAATAGATGTGCTCCTGACAAATTTATTTCGGTTGAGCTCTGTGGGGAGGAAGTGTGGGTTTGTAAACAGTGACTATTACGGCTAATAATGCATGACTCTTCGGTAAAGCGAATCGAGTCCTCTCAGTCACTGTGTGTTTATCTAAAAATAAATACGCTTAAATTCACCTTCATCCCTGCCGTGCGCCAACGGCTTAGTGCTAAAATCCCCCGACTGATGCCAATTCATACGGGTTTCGATCCTAACTAGAGGCAACCGGACGTCTAGCCACACTGATACACCGAAACAATCTGTATATATGAGTGTGTGTGTGTGTGTGTGGTGTGTTTTCATTCAACAAATGGGGGAGTTAATCGAGCCAGTTCTTAGAAGCGAACAGACAACCCGCACATATAATTTGGTTATAGCGGTGAAGACCGACGAAGCGATTATGGTGAACTGGTTGACTTACCTTAGCAGAAGTTCTCAAACGAACCTCACCTGGTTTGGGATGTGCGGGTGGTGTAATGGATATCGACTCGGATTAAGAAATCGGAAACCCGAGTATGAAATTAAGTCTGATTCGTTACATTCGCTTTAGCGCAAGTACATTTAGAAAAGGTATCAATCCATATCTTCATCTCCTCCTATCTATGGGTTAAATAGTCGGAACGAGTGGGCTCTTTACTCAAAGTTGGAAAGCAATCTACGAGAAAAACATCTCTGAATACATACATTGATATATATATATATATATATATATATATATATATATATATATAATGAAAAACAGACCACTTTAAAGGTACCATTACAATAATTTATTTCACCAAAATCCTTTTTAAAGGACTCCGGATCATCAGGTAACAATTCCAACAACGAACTGAAAGGAAAAATAGGATTAGAAATTGATGGGTAGTGTAATTTTTGTAATTTAACAGGGGGGTGAGAGTGGTAGGTAAAGAGACAATGTAGAGTATAGGGAGGGGTTAATTTCATATCTCTCTTAAGCATGCTTTATATTGGGGTAGGAGGCGTGACAGAAGCATGACTTATTTAGATGGTTAACTTAACGGAAATGATATGTAGGAATGGGAGGGGAGAAAAGGAAAAAAGAGAGGAGACAGACGACAGTAATACCGATATATCCAAATGAGTGTTACGGCAAAGAGAGAGGGGGAGAGGAAAGTGAATCGAAAGACGCTGTAGTTTTATTTTAACAAAATTATGTAAAAGATAGAATGATGAATGTTATCAATTTAAATATTTAATTTTTTAAGTAAATAGTTTAGGGACTTAATATAAGTTAACTACTATTTTTATTAGCATATTTATTGAGAACATATTAAAGAAATATTTAAAATTATAATAGTTTATTTACCCGACCAATTGTATTTCCATAATATAGTAAGAAAATTACGGTAACAATAACTTCTATATTATTTTTACTTTTAATCTAATTTATGAATGCAATTTTTATTTATTATTATATGGGTAAACTTAATTAAGGTTTAGGTTTCATTATTTAATAATATTTGAGGGTAATATTAAAGATTTTGTTTTCTTCTTATATGTATCTCACATATTCATGCAAATCCATATATACATACGTTTATTAACATGTGCAAACACACATAGACACACGTGTAACAATATACACAAATGTTCATCCATCTTCATACATAAATTATATATACATACATTTCTCAACTTATATATATATATATATATATAAGTTGCGATAGGTAAATTGTCACCATTTTATATTTTAATTTCGCGCATGCGCGTTGTTGTTTTTGACTTTATCGACTGCATAGTACAAAGACCACCATGATGCAATTCATTCCGCTAAAAATTTGGAAACGGCATGCTGTACTGCTTGGCATTCGTACCGGAAGCTGCAATACGAACGTTTCAGAGTTTGTGGGGGGGGGTCAATCTGAGAGAGTGCAGGAGATTTAGAAACAGTTGGTTGAGTATAATAGTGATTACGAAAGTACGGCAGGTCGGAAAACTCGCTCTGATCGTTCTGATAAGAAATGAACTCCCGAATTTGTTGGTGATTGTCTCAGGCTCAACACGGTGGCCTACATCAAATCTCTTGAGAAGGTAGTGAAGCCCTGTGCCAAAAAGATGGCTGCTGGAAGACCGTATATCTGGCAACAGGAGTCTTCACCATCCCACAAATGCAGGATATATATATTATGAATTAATTGATTTAAAATGTGTTTTTTTTCGCTACATAGGTCTAACCATGTTTCAAATATGGAAGCTAAAAGCTTCGAATTTAATTTTATAATTAAATTAAAGGCATTGGTTCCATTTCATCCTCAAGCGAATTTTGAAGACTATATTTTATATCAATTAATTTATAATATTAATGCACTTTAAATTTACATTTTGTAAAAATAAAAATATCTATAAGAACACCGGGTTATATATCTTACTGTTCTTTTCTTTATATATATATATATATATATATATATATATATATATATATGCGGTGCAGTTCAATTTTTATTACAATGGAATCATTCATGCAAAAAGGTGAAGGGATTTAACCATTTTATATCATTAACTTTACTAATCTACTTTTTTTTTATGAATGATTCATTGTAATATATATATATATATATATATATATATATATATATATATATATTATATATATATATTATATGCACACACACAATGAAACATCGGTTGTCAAACGGCTCCCTTTTGATCAAATCGGTGGTCTAACAAAATTTCGAACTAAAAATTACCCATTTGTCCTACCATAACTCGGTTGCCGAACAAGACCACAACACCACGTGGCCAGCACGTGATCACTGAGTTACTGAGCATTGTGGTGTCATTGGCGCCTGTCTTGCCTCAGCCCGCACTAGGAATACACACGCTAAGAACTGCTTTTTTCAGTATGCCTTGTCTTGTTTATTAATTCTTCTATTTTGTTTTATAGTATTCCATAAGCCAGAGTGCAATCTAAGAAAGCTAGTAAAAGTGGAATGGCGGAAAGAAAAAAGTAGTGAGAACAACAATAGAAGTGAAGAAAGATTATACAAAAGCATAAGAATGGCGTTCATGTTTCACATCTGGCTTTACAGTATGGCTTAACAAAGTCATCGATTTGTACGATCCTTAAGAAAAAAGAAACAATAAAAGAAGCTAAGGTTGCCAAAGGAGTGACTGTGATCACCAAGCAAAGATCTCAGACATTAGAAGTGGAGAAGTTGCTATTGACTTGGATCAACGAAATGTTGTTGGTCGACGACAGTATTTCGGAAACAATAATTTGTGAGAAAGCGAATCATTTGCATCAGGTTTTACTCGAGAAAAGTTCTGGGAATAATGTGTTTAAGGCTAATCGAGGTTGGTTTGAAAAGTTTAAGCTAGGTAGCATATACAGTGTGGTTCTTCAGGGAGAGGTTGCAAGTGCTAACGAAAAAGATGCAGAATAGTTTGTGAAAGAGTTTGGTGCGTATGTAAATGCTGAGGGTTTTATTCCTCAGCAAATGTTTAATTGTAATGAAACTGGACTGTTTTGGAACAAAATGCCTAAAAGAACATAGATAACCCAGGAGGAAAAAGGCTTTGCCTGGACACAAGCCCATGAAGGACAGGCTAACTCTTTTGATTTGTGGCAATGCTAGCAGTGATTTTCAGGAGATGATAATGTTCGTGTATCATTCGGAGAACCCCCGTATGTTTAAGAAAAACAACGTTATGAAAAGAGATTGCCCGTCATGTGGAGGGCTAACAGTAGGACCTGGATGACAACAGTTTTTCCTGGAATCGATCCATGAAGCTTTCGCTCCTAGTGTGGGGGATTACCTTCATATAAATAGCTTGTCAGTGAAGTGCCTGCTGTTGTTGGACAATGCGCCTGTTCAACCCCAGACATGGCGGCTGAGTTACTGAAAGAGTTCAACTTCATCACCGCGACTTTTCTGCCTCCTAATACGACTCCACTGATTCAGTTAATGGACCAACAGGTCATTTCTAACTTTAAGAAGGTGCTTTGAAGTTACTTTTGACACGGAGTTAACTGTCCGTTACTTTTGGAAGAGCCACTTTAATATCCTGAATTGCTTAAACATTGACAACGCCTGGCAGAAACTGACTCACAGGACCTTGAACTCAGCCTGGAAGAACCTGACCTGACAATGTTGCAGAGAGAGATTTCGAGGGATTTGAAACACAGCTTACTGGAGTTACAATGACATCATCTCTCTTGGTAAAGGCATGGGCTTGGAAGTCAACGATAATGATGCCAAAAAGCTGTTGGAGGAACACATCACTGAGTTATCTACTGACGAACTCAAACTCTTTTAGAAGAAGCAGTAGAACGAGATGCTTGAGGAGATATCTTTGGAGGAACAGAAAGAAGGAGGAATATGCCTAGTACTCTTATTAAAGAAATGTGCGCAAAATGAGGTGAAGTGAAAAAATTTTGTTGAAATATATCATCCAGTCAGGAACCTTTTCGATGAAAGTGCTAATATCTCACTTGTGTAACACTGTAACACTGTGAAACAGACAAAAGCAAGTTTATATAGAAAGGTTTTAGTGAAAATCAGCCCAGTGTGTGCCATACAAAATCTGCTAGCAAAAACAGAAAATCCGGAAAATGGCGGCCTCCCCTTCCAAACAATAACATTCCTTCCCTCACACGTCACCCCACCCTTCACTTGTGCTACGAAGCCTCCTCAACACAGATAAGGATGAATAAAATTGTCTTTCTTATTTATATGCAGCTTTATTTTTTAGTCAGTTGTGTTTATCTTTTATGAAATCTAATGACTTTCATTGTTTTTTGTATGAACTTTTACACTAAATTCTGTTGTAAAAGTTTGAATAAGCAATCATCCGGGGTCCAGGAACGGATTAATCCATTTTACATTGATTCCTATAGGAAAATTGTTTCAGTTTTCGAACCTTTTGGTTAACGAACAGTCTTCAGAAACGAATTAAATTCTAAAACCGAGGTACCACTGTCTATTAAAAAAATATACTTAATACCCTACGTTGATTGCACAACTTGCAGTTTCATGCTTCACCTGAAGATTACGTCTAATACTGACGATAGTTAAATATGCAACCTTTTCGCTGCATATTTTAAAAATTATTTTAACACACTTTTTGCAATTTATAAGATAAATTTGTAATTCTGGAGAATTGTCACTGAACGATATTTCAGGGCCATGTCTGGTTTGTTATGATTCGAATATGTAGAGTCTTATATAGACTACAAACATATATTCAGCGGTTATTTCTCATTTGGTTTAGCATTTACTGCGGCATTGACAGTAGCTATTTTAATAAAAAAATAATTCACTTATTTGCTAAACTATAAAAACACTATTGGTAAGAACAGTAGAATAGGTTGCTTGACCGATACATATTTATATATATTATATTCTTTTTAAAAACTCTTCGTTTGCTGATATTAATCTTACTTCCTTTCAACGTTGCGAAAACGTTATTCATTCAGGGAAACGGTTTCTTTTAGGAGTATAGATTAGTAATATCTGAAATTGGTGTTTTTGATTAGGGAAATGTCAATAACAATTTGGTATCAATTTTTTACGAGTACTGAATCATCTAAAAATGGAAACTGACATTTCTCAAATAATGACCATCTTTTCTGCAAACGTATCCAATAAATGGAGATAGGAAAATAAAGAAAATTGAAACAGTTGACTTTATATATATATATATATATATATATATATATATATATATATATATATAGAGAGAGAGAGAGAGAGAGAGAGAGAGAGATAGATAGATAGATAGATAGATAGATAGATATTACTTTAAAAGTTATTTTAATGAGTACTCATATTTGAATAAATGATCCGTTTATCTATGAAACAGTATATTTATTTATTTATTCCGGCCTGAATATTCAGGAAATCATATTAAAGAAAAACAAGCTCCCTCCAGGAGGGAGAACTGTCGTTAGATTCGACGTGCTTTGACCGACTCAGCAACGAAGAACTTTACACACACACACACACACACACACACACACACATATATATATATATATATATATATATATATATATATATATATATATATATATATATATATATATATATATATATATTGTTTGTACTACATATCATGTAAAGGCTTACAGTCATATCAATCACGTTGAAAAACCGGTTTCCGTTGATCACGCAACATCGATCCTGGTCAGTACACAAGATGGGTGACCATTTGGTAATACTAGGCGCTGTAAGCTTGTATATGCGGGTACTGTGATTGATAACAGTTCAGAAGTTGGACAGTCGAGTTCCAATCCCAGTAGAGTTCATTATATTCACTTACGCGTAAACATCCTTACGAAAAATATGAATCCACTTCTCCCCCGACCTATGGATTAATTAGTAGAATTTTTATCAATAAATCTTTATTATCTGCAAAAAAAATTATTACCATCGAAAAATATTTTCTTGCTTCAAAATAATCGGCAAAAGGTTGATAAGTCGTAAAAAACAAATCATTCAAAGGAGATCTAAGGTATTTATCTTTCATTATTTTCTCTCATCTGTCAATGGTTCCAATGACAACACTGTTTACAATCTAAATAACAAATACATGAAATTTCAATATGTTATATATTATATATAGGTACCTCAAGGGATTCGCTAAAAGCTGAACATACATAATGAAACAATGCTCCAAACATGATAAAAACAACGTCTTATTGTCAAAATCTTTACGTTATTATTAAGAAGAAAGGCGAACGGATTTTGTATGTAAAAAATATTTTCTTAATTCTTTTTAGAACCTTCAAAATGTTGGTATAAACTCTTCACTGACGTCAAAGGGGGGACTATAAAATAGTATGGAACATTTTAACGTCTTTTTGAGATGAAAAATACATTGATTTAGATATTCTTGCATAAATCAGACAATTGTTGTTTTATTGTTTTTATAAAATTTTGGTAAAAGTATCTTCTTTTACTTTTGTTACAGCATACTTATTTAATTTTATGAAATTTCAAAAAATTCTTTTTGCTTCATTTAATGTTTATATTAGTTATAAGGACAAACGCTCGGAGAATTTAAATCGACAAATATTTTTGGTTAAACAGGAACCCAAGTTAAAGAAAAAGTCTATTCTGAATTGTAAAATAAAAAAAAGCAAAAAACTAAAAGATTAATTAATTAGACATGTTTTTATTTGCTTTTATGAATAAAATATATTCTGGATGGAATTTTCTTTAAAAAAAATTATCAATGAATAATTAATTTTTACAAGAATTGTTTATTCGTTTCTTTTTACAAGTTTAATTAGAATAATTTATAAACTTTTAAATCTTTAAAACTGGGTATTAATTTGTAGTGGTCAACCTATATTATTATTAAATAAAAGACCATATTTACTAATCATAGATGGAATAGTGTTACTATCCTTGAATATTTTAACAAACAATTTGAATTTATGTGTGTGTGTGTGTGTGTGTGCGCGCATGTGTGTGTGTGAACGTGTTGATTTTTGTATATACGAACATCCATACGTAACATAATCAGAAAATAAGTATAATAATTATAGAGAATTTAACATTAATTCGTAATTTTCTAACATTTCCTCAACAATCGTCTTCGTAGGCTAAAGTAAATAAAATTCAATTAAATAGTATATTGCTTAATGTATTTTAAACTATTAAGATTACTGGGTAGTTAAAAAAAAAACTCTATAAAAATGCCTTTTATGTTGTATTCGTGATATAATTCTGCGATAATTATTTCTTTTTACATAAATCTGGTCAACACCAGATTAACGTTAGAGGTCTCAACATCTCATTAAAACACCCAGTTCCGGGTTAAAAATGCTTTCTCTGCAATATTTTAAAAGTAATATTAATTCAGATTAATTAAACTTTAAGTCAGTGAATCTTCCGTAAATCAAGTTTCAGAAAACTATATATAATTTTCAAAGAATTATTAATAAAGAGAATTATGTTGTGTTGACAGATTTATCAATATGGACGATTTCTGCGATTTTACTAATAGAAAGGAAATCATTCCAATCAATTTAAATTCGGTTTGTAATAGAGAAAATCAATTTAAATATTAGAAATATTAACTTTAATCTATTAGCTTGGAAATAAAACTAAAATAAAACATTTTTTCATTTTTAAAATGCATTTTAAACTTTAAAATTCGCCTTATTTTAAAGCTAGCCAGTTTTTTGATGTTCATCCTGTACAAGGTCTAAGAGCCATACGAGTTACAGAGTAAGACGCTCCACCCCAAGCAAGATAATAATGCTGCCAATATGCAAGTGGCCACCGGAAGTGAAAGGATTATAAACCGGGCCATGAGTAGACCTATCTCTTTCGATTAAGAAACAAAACAGAAAAAATTTAAAGGAAAGGAAAATGAATAGATCAGACCATAGAATATTGATCAGTAGGAAGTTACAGGGTTACCTTAAGAATTAACTTAAGAAAATCTCTTTAGACGAGAACTTTCCGCTATCACTTTCCTCTTTTCTTTTACAGAGATTGAAAGTTTACTCTTCCAAATGTTCATATAAAGAATTTGACAAATACCATTTTTCTTTTTCCCGATTCCGTTCCCCTAGATTCCATTGCACCACAACATTTTCGAAATTCGCAGGAACGAGGCGAGAGCAGACATATAGGAAAAGAAATGTTTCGAGAAATTTGCGTTCAAAGATTTTGATTTTTATTCTTCACACCCAAACACATTCTGACAGAAAATAGAATTTCTGATACGCAGAAAGAACAGAATATATAAAGAAATGCGTAAAACTACCCACCCTACCCAACGTTAGGAACAGAAAATTTACGTGTATCCACAGGGAAACGTTTGCTCAGTGAGCACAAACTAAATAACTTTTAAAAGATGCTATTTTCATTGATACAAATTTGAAACGGAGATAAAAAGTATATATATATATGTATATATATATATATATATATATATATATATTGTGTATTTAGGCAGCAATCCTTCATTTATACATGTTTCATCACAAGGTACTACGATTAAGCTTTATATTTAATTTTTCTTGTGTTCGAAAAGCGTTTTCATTTTGGACACAGAATGTGTAGAAACCGTTCAAATGTTCTGTAATTCCAAGTGTTTTTGGCTATAATTTTAGCCATTATGAAGGATGATTTTTTTTTCAATTTAAATTGGTGTATACGTTGTGTGTATGTTTTTAGTATTATAGAGATGTTTTATTTTCCGAACACAGAACATTGTGGCCGTGTTCGTAGTTAATGTCATTAAGTATTGGCTTTTTATCTTTTTTTATTAAGGCTTCCATTATTTTTAATCTTTTTTTTACATGTGAATAAGGCTATGTTTACTAGACTCCATCTAAAATATACTAGTAGAAAATACAAACATAATAACCTCATTCACATATGTGTATGTGTGTGTGTGTGTGTGTTTGTGTGTTTATTTGGCCAGCAAACACTCTTTTATACATATTCATTAAACTTGACTTACAAGGCACTGTGATCAGGATTTTCATTAAATATTACTTGCATTCGTACAAGTATTTTCTTTTCAGGACATAAAGTGCGTAAGAACTGTCTAAATAATACGCGGATCCAAGTATTTTCGGCTATTCTATTAGCCATTATCAAGGATTGTTTTAACTGAATATGGAGATTATATACATACATACATATATATATATATATATATATATATATATATATATATATATATATATAGCAAAGGTAAGAAATCCGTTGTTATATAATTCAAGTGGAACCTAGTAATATAAAATATTAAAACTGATCCACAAAAGAGCTCAATGTATTTATTATTACAAGCAATACAATGAATTAGTGTTAAAATGTCGACATAAAAACAAATTCAAATTTCCATAATATAGGTTTAACTTAATTAGCTACTATATTTCCATAACATTCACTCCCCTCTATCTCTTCAAATGTCGAATGTGAAACTAATTCAAATTTCTAGTCTATTTTCCCCTTCTATAATATCTTTACACTATATTGATTATATTTTGTAAAATTTCCCCTACTCTAACATTTCCACAACTGTCTTTCTATTAACCCTTTACATTCTTTTATCTGTATATTGTTTTATTCCTCTTTTAATTTTAATTCTTCATATAACCCTAAATTAATGCCATAAGATTAATATTCGGATTTAATTTTATAAAATTTATTCCCTTTAGGACAAATACCCTCCCCTGTCTTTTGCCTTTCGTCTGACTGAAATATTGAAATGATTTATTTATTTATTTTATTTTATTTGTTTATTTATTCATTTATTTTTTTCACAGTTAAATCTCTATTTCTGACACGAACTCAGTCCACAACGGAGTTGATAAGACAGGCGACCGATATCTTCGTCTGCTGAAATAAGCTGTTTTCCATATGACGTGATTTTGGATTTTATTTTATTAATTATATATATATATATATATATATATATATATATATATATATATATATATATATGAGTCAACACCCAATTAAATTAAACTATAAACACAACCACAATGTGCTCACCGTGTGTTTAAATAAATACGCTTCGCCCATCGCCATAGATGCACATATAGTAGAATCTACACATTCCCTTAATTTAAAAAGCATTCTTGATAATGGTTAATAGAATAGCTCGCCCGGATACATAAAACATTTTTTCATAAAATAAAACACTGATAAAAATACAAGAAAAACTGAATAAAATCTTCATCGCATTACCTTTTTTTAAAATCAAATTTACCTTGAGCAAGGCAGTAAAGCCACGAAGACAAAAATGGTTACAGAACATAAAAGAATTAGAAAACATTACTAAGGAAGAAAAACAATAAAAGAGTAATCAGGAAGAGAGTAGATAACGATTAACATTGCATTAAATATTTTTGCAGATCACAGAGAATTCCACAAGCAAGAAGTGCGAAAAACGGAACTATCAGTAGAGAACTTACGGTTACATCTAACAAATTCAACGATAAATTGATGGGACTTTGCCGCCAATTTAGTACTGTGCTTAAATTTCAAAATATATAAAACAAAAACAAAAAAAGAGGAGGGAAACATTTTTACGCTGGTGGGAAAATGACTGAAGCCGAGACACCAGATCAGGACTAATAATGTTGCTGATTCTACTTTGTAGTTTATCACTGATCTCCAGTTGCGTTGATCTATCCACTACTCTTCTCCTCATCCTTTCTACTATCACTCCTATCTGACCATGCTCCAAATTTTCTGTAACCCCTTGCGTCCTAGTGGCTTCCCGCCTTGCTTGGAGTGAAACACTTAAAAAAAAATTTAAAAAAATAAGCAGTAGGAGCATCGCACCATATGTGACAGCATGGAGGAATGGTAGACACACACGCGCACACACGCACAGACACACACAAACACACACACACACACATATATATATGTATGTGTGTGTGTGTGTGTGTGTGCAATCTGGAAAAATAGTTTGTCTAGAAGAATACAGTGAACCGACTTCCTTACCAGCTGAAGTAGCAAAGAATTTAATGTATCCTTTTCGCTTCATGTCCGCCGAGAGTGTTAACTTGAGAAGTTGAAGAGAGTCATTCTCTTGGAGGTTAGCATCAGCCATATTGATGGAAGACAGAATGGGGTCTCTCAGAGGGCTAACAAAGAGCAGTTTAGTTTTAGAGCCGTTAAAATTAACACGGTATTCTTTGCTCCTGTTATTAACAGGCCGAAGGTCGTTTATGAATTCAGCTGCCATTTTTCCTTATCAAACTGATCAGACTTAGTATAGAGTCAGAAGTAATTGGTTGTGTCATCAGCATAGATACCAAGTAGAAGGCGTAATGGAAAAACAAGGTGGGAGCCTGGGGGAAAACTACATTAATACAAAAGGATCTAGAAGAGTGGTCGTTTAGGTCAACATCCATTTCACTATTTGATAAAAAAATGAATTTGCTCAAAATTTCTTCCGGAGACACCATAATTTTTCAACTTGTGAGGAAGGCTAGTATGCTAAACTCTGTCGAAAGCTTTCGAATGTCGTCTTTAATGAAACTTGTATAAAAGATGGATTGCTGCCCCAAAACACAATTATATATGTATATTGTGTGTAGGTATAGGGATTTTCTTTTTACTTTCAGAACACGGTCAGCACGTTATGGCCATATTCATAATTGACATTATTGAGAGTTGGTTTCTTTTTTATTAATAATGCTTCCATTATTTTTAAATGCAAATAGAAAATACGGCCATAATAGATTCATCCAAATGCATAAACGTTAAAGATATTTGAACAGCCTGAATATGTTTCAGTTTGCCAAGATTAAGCGTACAGGTAACATAGTTTCATTAGTGTAAATGATTGCATACATAGACCAATACGGGCACAGGTTTAATAATATGAGGTATAGTTGCAGTATCTTTAATCCTTACGACCATATCCACTTGATACATCATTTCTCGTGCAATCAACAAAGTTAAGCAACATCGAGCCTGATCAGTACTTAGATTGGGTGACCACTTTGGAATAGCACGTGTTGTAAACTAGGATGTCCGGCTGATGTAATGGACAAACAGCCCGGAACTGAAAATCGGTGAGCCTTGTTCTAAATTCAGTCGGGTTCCTTATATTCATTTACGCCCATATGCCCTATTCTCCCCCAGCTATGGGTTAATTAGTAAGATTATTATTATTATTATTATTATTATTATTATTATTATTATTATTATCTACAATTTAAAAATAATTTCTGGATTTGAATAACTCGAAAAAGGTTGATAAACCGTAAAAATATATGACTGAATCAATCAATAAATTATTATTCTTACAATCTAAAAATACTTTCTGGCTTTAAATAACCTGCAAAAGATTGATAAGCAGTAAAAACAAATCAATCAATTCAGAATTCATATTAATAATTTCATTTCCTATGCGTGTGTTAATAGAGGCTTTTATTCTCTCATGAAAACGTCCCTGCATATAGCAAATACTTTCATTGCAATACAATATTCCAAGCCTCTTACATTATTGAAGATATACAGTAAGTGGGATAGTCCAATGAGTTTGTTTAATCGTGTTAGCCAGAGAAATTGTTGAACCTATTTATTACAGACGGGCATCACGTGGGCGGGCATTATCCTGCTGATACAAAACAGTTTTCCTGTTCCAAGAATGACAGAAAAACAGGTTGAACAATGCCCTAAATATGTATGACACTATATAAGATTGATTATTTAGAGAGTAATGCGCAGTTTAGTAGTGATGCGTCGGTGAATGGTGCAAGGTATTATGTAATAGTGAGGATGATACTGAGCAAGCCTTTTCTATGTAGAAATTTTAAACCCTGAAAAAAATACATCCACGTAGAAATTCTAAGCCCTAAAATAAAATTCACTTTTTAGACTAGAAAATGGCTGCCCAGCTCTAACACTTTCGGCTCGGCCCCTCAACTTTCCGGCGTCTTACTCTCTGGGTTGATGTGTCGATTCAGTCTTAAGGGAGTGGCCATAGGTCCCCTGAGCATCTGTGGATTATTCGACCGGTCCGCTGGTTTATCCTGCTTCCTGCCCACGTTGTGATCTGTTTGATCCAGAAAGCAGAAGTGATGTCCGTCCATTCACGGTCGACTGATGTAGACACGGCTGGGGAGTCTGCGATAAGAAATTTAGAATGCAGTAAAAAAAAAAAAAAAAATAAAAAATTAATATCTGCAGAAAGCCGGACAGACATCGTTTCAATGGTTGAATTGGTAATGTCTTTTATATAGCAGAAAAGAATAGTAAAGAAGAAAAACGGGTTGCAGAAAAGAAAAGTAAAAAAAAAAAAAAAACAACTCATACATTGGATTCTAGACAGACAGAGAGAGAGAGAGAGAGAGAGAGAGAGAAAGAGAGAGAGCGAGAATGCGTATTCGATTATCTTGTTGTTCAATCGTCTCAGAACAATACATGACCCTTGCGATGGAGGGAAAAAGATTTCTGAGCGGGGTTTAAAGTTATAGCGGCTTTCCTCCGCAAAGATCGCCCGGGCCAATTCTCTCCTCCCTCTTCAAGAATTTTCTCGTGTTTGTCTTTTTCAGCATAACTACGCGTTTATATAGATAAACCCGGCTGATTAACACTGACCATCGGGCCTACTACTTCGCACGCGATTATCACGGGGTTCTGGCTGCTTCAACCAAAATCATGTGAATTCCAAAATTCCTTCTAGTTTACTCAGCTCTATTTCAATTCTTAATTGATAAAGATAAGATTTCCCCATCAGTAAAAAAAAATGCTCTGATTTAATTTCGCTATTCAAATCTACTCCAATTTCACTAAAAAATTGTACTTGTGTGTGTTTCCCAGACTCTCTCTCTCTCTCTCTCTCTCTCTGTCACATTCCCCCCCTACCCATCTGTCATTTACTTGTAAATGACACACGGGCATTCATATCAACAAAATATGAGAAAACCCAGTCCGACATGCTTCTTACTAGGGGCTACTTAAACATACGTCTCTTCCAGTTTAGCTAACACATCAGTGAGGGTCTTATGAAATCTTTCTACCTTAGCGTTACTTTGGGGGTGATATGGGGAGGTGGTTATGTGCTGTATGTTTAATTCTCCCAATGTCTCTCTCATAATCTGATTTACGTTCTCCGATCCATTATCAGTAACCAACTGTTCAGGGGCCCCATACCTAGGGAATATTTCGTTCAGTATTATATCTGACACCGTTCGTACCTTCTTATCCGGTATGGCAAATGCTGGAATAATTTCCTGACTGCCTCAATGGCCGTACGCTCACTTGTATATTGCCGCACCAGAGTGAATTTAAGCTCGGTCCACGTCTGTTTTCTTTGTACCACCCCCCTATGAACTTGGACACCTGCCCCGCTGAGGCGTCGTAAGCTAGGAGCACCATTTTTGGTCCGAGAGGCCATAGATCACCTGCTTTTGAATGAACAGAATCTATTCGTGCAGGTCCGCAGGGTTTCCTTTATAAGTAGGTAGCTTCATGCTACCTATCACCCTCCTGAAACCCATCGATATTTCGGGGACTCCCACTTCCTCAAGGTCATCTGTGGTGTCTGATCCTGTTACACTCATCCTAACGTTTTGTCAATTACCACTTTCCCACGAGAAGAGAGACCAACAACAGAATGAAATGAAAAATTCTTAACACAGTGGTGGCTCTTCAACTGTGTACAAAGTCGACAAAGTCAAAACAAGGTCAACAATATTACTGGCAGATCTAAGTGCAATAAGCGAACAAAGGAAACCAAAAAGTGACTTACCTGAGATCCACTGTTCCGTGTTTTGTTCTTTTTCCTCCTTCTTTTGCTTCCTTCTCTTTTCCTACATATTTCTCTTTCAGACCAATATTGTCCGAAGACTAGAGTCCATTCTGATCTTACTTGATCCCGATTGGACAAAACAAATGCAACCTTCTCTCCTCTTTCAGACGGCCGTGGCAATTCCCACAGCTCTATCCTGGTCACAGGCACCAGTAACACATTCGCCCCGGCCCCTCAACCACCGGCGTCTTACTCTCGGGGTTGAGGTGTCTACTCGGTCCTAACCGAACTTAAGGGAGTGGCCATAGGTGCCCTGAGCATCCGTAGATTATGCGACCGGTCCGCTGGTTTAATCCTGCTTCCTGTCAACGTTGTCATTTGTTTGATTCAGAAAGCAGAAGTGATACCCGTCCATTCACGGTTGACTGAAGATGTAAACACGGCTGGAGAGTCGGCGTTAAGAAATTTAGAATGCAGCAAAAAAAAAAAAAAAAATTAATATCTGCAGAAAGCCGGACAGACATCGATTCAATGGTTGAATTGGTAATGTCTTTTATATAGCAGAAAAGAATAGTAAAGAAGAAAAACGGGTTACAGAAAAAACAAAAAAAAAACAAAAAACAAACTCATACACTGGATTCTAGACACAGAGAGAGTGTGTGTGTGTATGTAATTATCTTGTTGTTCAATCGTCTCAGAACGATACATGACAGGGATAAAGATTTCTGTGCAGGGCTTAAAGTTATAGTGGCGTTCCTCCACCCAATGCTCACCCGGGCCAATTCTCTCCTCCCTCTTCAAGAATTTTCTCCCGTCTGTCTTTTTCAGCATAACTACGCGTTTATATAGATCAACCCGGCTGGTTATAACTGACCCTCGGCCCTACTACTTCGCACGCGATTATCACAGGGTTCTGTCTGCTTCAACCAAAATCATGTGAATTCCAAAGTTCCTTCTAGTTTACTCAGCTCTATTTCAATTTATAATCGCTAAAAATTATTTCTACCATTTCCGTTGTCTTTTGATGACCCAGATTCAATGAGTAGAACTTCTGCAATAGATCAGATTTCCCCACCAGTAAAAACAAAATGCTCTTATTTAATTTCACTATTCAAATCTACTCCAATTTCACTAAAAAAAATATACGTGTGTTTTTCCCAGACTCTCTCTCTCTCTCTCTCTCACACACACACACACACACACACACAGAGCACACACACGTTTCTCTTTTATGGTTTTATGATTTTACCGAATTGTATCTTTTACAAAACAACACACACAACACATTACTTGTTCATCTTAAAATGCGTGTTCATAATTTCGACTTAACGCAGTTTTAATTAAAATCAGTCAGTTATGTGATACACGCTTAGGCGATCATCTATCTTTCGATACATGACTGAGACTAGGTTGCCATACTGCGGTAGACCAGTTGGCATCCAAGGCTACATACAGAACCCGGTCTCTACTGCTATTTGATAGAGACATATATTAGTATTACATGTAATATTAATTTCAGTCAGTTATGTGCCATGCGTGATACACGCGTTCGATACATGACTCACGAGTCAGATTTTTTTTCACGCAGTAGGTTGTCATTTCTTTTCTGCGGTAGACTAGTTGCCATCCAAGGGTATAGAACTTGGTCTGTCCTGCTATTTACCCATAAGTTTGAGAAGAGGATTCATACCTTTCCCAAGGGTATTAGCACGTAAGTGAATGTAATCGATTCAACTGGAATTCGAACTCGGCTCTCCGATTCCTCAATCTGAGCCGATGACTTTTTTATCCCTCTCTTTATTCCTCTATCTCTGTTTCATTCCCCTCTCTCTTTCTCTTTCTATCTTTCTCAGTCTGTCACACTTTTCCACTCACACTTCAACCTTTATCCCTTACCTAAAATTCTCTTACTACAATTTTCTTTCTATCAATCTTGATCTCTTTCCTATTTACTATCATTATTTTCTTTCCGTGCCTCCCCTCTTAATTAAAATCGAAAGTCATTTATTAATGCGAAAAGCATAAAATGTTCACTAATTTCTGACTATTTCATGCTAAATTTACATTCTGGTTCATACAGTATGTCACCTTTCTTAACCAAACTACTACTATTACAATAAATAAAACAGAAGTGATACTCTGCCTAATGAAACCAACTTATTTGTACATCTAAGCACATCGCAAACCAGAAATGTAAAATTAATCACGTCTGAATTTTTAGTGTTTTTCACGATGTATAATTCTAACTAATCTTTTGTTTATACTTTGTTCCCTATTACTGCATATATAAGATCCCATCAATAAAAACATCATTTAGTCTGAAGTACTTTTGAATGACGAAACACACGTCACACGGGATTTCATTTTTCCATTTCGTCATTCAATTACCAACAAATGGTTTTATGAAGCACGTTTTTCAAAATTACATTAACAAATATAGACGAACCTATTTATAAAGAAAGTTAATGCATTTATAAATATGTGCATACTTCGTTTTTTTTTTTTTTATATATATTCATAAACATTTACTTACAAAAGACGTATTTAGTGTTTGTTGGTCTGTGCTATCTTTGCTACAACAGAAGTTTCGGGGCTTTTTTTATTTTTTTTATTTTTGATGTTTGACGAAATTCAGAACAATCATACAGAGCCATTCATCGTGTTTGCTTTTTCCATGAGCCCCTCCACCCAGATAAGGCACTAAGGTACATTTTGATGCACACACAAATTCCCTATTCGCAATTTATGAACCGAACTGAAGTTATATAATTTTTTTTTTTTTTTAAAAACGTGGAAATTGTAGACATATCTTCGCCATCTTCGGGGCCATTCTTTTATTTGTTTTCCTTTCGAGTTTCTCTTTCCCAATTTCTTTTCTCTTCTTCTTTGATTTTTTTTTCTTTCGTTATTCTCCTTCATGTTCTTTCTCTCTTTTCTTACTATAATAATTTTCTTCCTCTCCTTTCATTTATGTACATTTATCTTTCTTTCTTCTCGATTTCTCTTTCGTCTATCATTTGCGTTACAATTTCTTTTTTTTTACCTATCGATTCTCTATCACTTTCTTTTTTTTCTTCCTTCTTTTTCCACTCTACATAAAGAACCTGATTTTTCTCTATTTATCCTTCTCGCGAAACTCCACCCGCTGCTAACTCTCTCAATTTTGATCTCACCTTATTTACCTTAACTCTCTCTATTAGACCACCCTCTCTTTCATTCTCTCTATTCCTGTCTTTCTATCTCTCTCTCGTGAAATTCTCTCACTTTTTATCCCTCTCTTTATTCCTCTATCTCTGTTTCATTCCCCTCTCACTTTCTCTTTCTATCTCTCTCAGTCTGCCACACTTTTCCACTCATACACGCTTTCGATACATGACTGAGTCAGATTTTTTTTCACGCAGTAGGTTGCCATTTCTTTTCTGCGATAGACTAGTTGCCGTCCAAGGGTATATAACTTGGTCTGTCCTGCTATTTACCCATAAGATGGGTGGGGGGAGAAGAAGAGGATTCATACCTTTCCCAAGGGTATTAGCACATAAGTGAATATAATGGATTCAACTGGAATTCGAACTCGGCTCTCCGATTCCTTAATCTGAGCCGATGACTTTTTATCCCTCTCTTTATTCCTCTATCTCTGTTTCATTCCCCTCTCTCTTTCTCTTTCTATCTCTCTCAGTCTGTCACATTTTTCCACTCACACTTCAACCTTTATCCCTTACCTAAAATTCTCTTACTACAATTTTCTTTCTATCAATCTTGATCTCTCTCCTATTTACTATCTATCATTATTTTCTTTCCGCTCTCCCCATCTCTCTTTCTCTTTCTCTCACACTTACACATGCAGACACACTTTCAGTATATCGTTCTTTTACATTCATTATCCTTTGCTCCATCTTTCTCTCTCAATTTTTTTTTATAATTATCTTTCATTCCGTTGCAAATTTTGTTTCCAGTTCTAATTTCCTCTTTCCACCGCCATTTTTTTTCTTTCGCCTCTCAATATTCTGTTCACAGAGAGGCACGACTTCTCGACGATGTTGCCACGAGTAAATCAAGTCAATAATAAGAAGCAGAAGCCGACCACATTTCCCTTCACCGCCATCTTAGTTTAATGTCACCGTCATTGAAAAATGGAACCGTAGAAATGTCACAAAAAATCCCCATTCTAAATGGCCGTAGCTCGCAAGAATCGATTATATAACGGACCAGAAAAAGAAAAAGGAAAGAAATTATGGAAGCCTAGAAGCGCAGAAACTCAAAAGAACGCTTTCTATGTTGAGGAATCGGAGAGGAAGAAAATAATGATGGCATAGAATAAATCATTCCAGTGGTCCAAATCACTACATACATTTGAACACCACACATACACACACACAGACACACATATGTGTGTGCGTATGCGTGTAGTGTACATACAACATATATGCATGTATATGTGTGCTTGTGAGAAATGAATGTATATCGGCAAATATAGCTAGAAGCCACAAAATGTGAACACATCTACACGATACATAGAGATTTGTAACTACGACTTTTTCCGGTGGAAAAATAGATTCAGATTAAATGTGTATTTATTACATAGCTACTAAAAGTACGAAAAATATATAGAAAGATATAGAATGTATATAGAAAGATATCGGAAAAATATAGAAAATATATACAGTCCGTCTGAAGTTATTATGCAAATCACATAAACCTTTGAAAATCTTTTGTCAAATTTTAAACAATTTAGATTTCAAAAGTTTGAGTTAAATTTATAGGTAGATTATTTAAGTTTTATTAAATTTGACAAAGATTGTTCAATGTAAATTAGAATTATGGAGGCTTATGTGATTCGTCTCTTAACTTCACACGGGCTGGAGAAACGGTGCGGCAGAAATAACTCCCATATATACTTCCCAGAAATACCTTCCACATAATGGTAAGATATTAGCTAGATGAAGACATCATTAGCACTAATACCTTAGTATTATGTGGCAGGTATTTCTGAGTGGTATATATGGGAGGTTTTTCTACCGCACTCTGTATATAGAAAATATATAGACAGATATAGAATTGATATGGAAAAGTTTTTTTTTTTTTTTTCACTTAACTCATATATATTTCGGAGTTTCGTGGCTATATGTGTCTAACCACTCGTGAGAACAGAGTTAATATTTCGCTGTTTCCATATAAATGAAAAGACATAATTATATCTGCGGCCAATAAGAAGTTAGTATTTTGATTTGAAATTTCTAGAATATGTGTGTGATTGAATGAATGAATTAAGTGCATTGACAAGGATAGAAATTACTGAGTCAAATGATTTTTTTTCTCGTTAGGTCATGCATTAATGCTGAACCTAAGTCCATTACAGATTTATAGTATTTCATTATAAGTATCAAAGCTGAATAATATATATATATATATATATATATATATATATATATATATATATATATATATATATATATATATAATATATGAACGCGACTCTGTGGCCAAATCGGTAAAGGCACGTCATGCTAAATGACGGTTCCGTATAGGATACAGGTTCGAATATTTTCTGTAAAAATTTCTCGGACATTCAGGCCAGTAAATGTTGTTTAATACTCTTTATTATAAACAGAACATTTACTTAAATATTTGTATCTATAAAAAGAATGTATAAACATAAAATGTCAAATTTGTGGTCAGTCCTGTTACGGTGGGAAACCACCGCATTTAATGTATTATTTTGTAAAATGTCCCTTTTGTGTTCATATAATATTTTCTTTGATTTCTTCCGGTTCCACTATGTATTTTTGTGACAATTATTACAGGCGATGGCGTAAATTCCTCCTTCAGGTTTTAGCTTATTGTTTTTTTTTGTTTTTATTTTATATTGACTAAGTCTTTTATTGCTTTAGGTTGTAATAGCAACAAATTTTATCTTGAGTTTAGATAGATTCTTTTCATTTGTAGATCTGTTGGTAGGATAATATATTTTTTGATCCATTGGTGTTTTCAGGAAAGGGGTTGTTTTGGGATATTTATGGGTCTTTTGTTTCGCATTGAATATGAAATAATTAGGGTATCGTTTTGAACGTATTTCTAATTTTTTTCTCCTCTTCTTGTAAATAATTCAGGTTGCATATTCTAAGTGCTCTTAAGTAGAAACCAATGTTTATGCCAGATTTTATTTTGCTGCCATGATGAAAATATAAGTTTATTAGGTCGTTTTTGTTGGTTGATTTCCAGTGACACAAAGTTGTTAACGCAGTGTAGCTTGATGTCTAGGAAGATTAAGGAATTGTTGTCTTTCATTTCGTATGTAAATTCTATTGAGTGTTCGACTTTGTTTAGTTCATCTACTAGGTCTAAAGGCTCAAGACGCACTCTGTGCTTATATGTATGGTCATTTTGTATATAAATGATAGATAGATAGATAGATAGATAGATAGATAGATAGATAGATAGATAGATAGATCTGAAATAAGGTTAAAATGGAATCAGATGACATAAGAAATTTAAAAAAGTGATACTAATTATGGAGCAATGTCTCTATGATTACACATACAAATGTAGTAAAATATAGGGAAACCAGAAAATTAGAAAGTTAGAATAAAAAAAAAACATTAGTGAACGATTACGTAATACCTGCCCGTCTATATGGCAGTGAATGCTGCACAATTTCTTCACAGATGAAGAAGAGACTTGAAGCAAAAGAAATGTGGTTCCACAGATGACTGCTGAGAATACCATGATCCAACCAGTTTTAGTTGATTTTGTTTAGCGGCATATCTACATCAAAAATCTAAATATTTTGAACACAATTCTATACCTTCAGCTACATTATAAACTGGATTGTTGATAGTACTACTGCTAAATATGTTGCTAGTCATTTTGCATTAAAATTGTACCTTTGATAATTTTACTATGAATTTGTATTATTGGTAATTTTACTATGAATATGTATTGTTGCTAATTTTTTTAATATAAAAATATATTGCTGGTATTTTTACTATAAAAACGTATTTTTATATTAGGTTGGTGCAAAAATAATGACGTAATAATGTCGTTTTTGGACCAAAAAAACGACATCATTACGTCATTATTTCTGCACCAACCTAATACTTTCATAGTGTTTTGTTTTTGTTTTGAGGTTCACTATTTGCCCATAATTGGGACACTGACAGGTGCTACCATCACGGGCCAGGGTAGAACTAGGATCAACAGCAATTAGGAGCTGTTATTTTATTTTGTTTTTTTTTAGGTGCGTGAAGCTCCTGACAACCTCTAATCTCCCGGTCAGAGCCCTTACTACTGAATGTTTGATGGTTTGAGAGAAAATTGAAACAAAAATGACACTTGACACAAGGAAAAGCGAATTGAAATATTTCGGGCATATAATGAGGTAGGAAGGCTTGAAAAATTTGATACTCACAAGGCCTTTGAAAGCAAGAGGGACAGAAGAAAACAAAGCATAACCTACCTGACGAGCTTGAGTAAATGAAAGGTGGAACAGGGGTTAGGAGAAAGAAAAGAAAACATTATTAAAGGCTATCGTAATTAGATTTTGTGGAGAGCCATGATCGCCAACGTTCTGAATGGACACGGCAGTTACAACACGAAGTGGCCATCGACAAGAATGTATATCAAAAGAAAAGGTAACTGATGTATTTGGACGTGTGTATAAAGTGAATGTGTTTGTGTATATACGTGCTTTTTATCGAGATGCTAATAATATATTGGGCTTTGTGTAGACAACTAGGTGTAAAATTCGCAGATTTATACCTCGAATTTTCTCACAAAAGCGACAGTTTAAGCAAACGGCGGCTTGCATCGATAATTTATGTCGTCCAAAGGAAACGTCAAGAACTACTGACTAAGGCTCTAATTGTTTGCAATGTACGTAAATCTGCTTGTCAGCTGACGTTCATTGTGACTTTGTGTTTTTTCAACGGACTCAACAAAATAATATATTATCTAGTTACATAGAAATAGGATTATTTTATTTCTCCACTTGTTGTCTCTCGCGAAATAACTATGATCAGGTTTGTTTTGCTAAAATGAAGCATTGTTTGAGGATAACATTACATAGACGCAACAAGAATAGTGTTGCGATGAGAAGGGCTGATTTTCTTGTAATGATGCAACGTGATCTTATTTTCTTGTAATTTTGGAACGAGGAGGGCTGATTTTGTTATAATGTTGCAATGTAATCTTATTTTCATTATTATCATCGAAACATTACCAGAAGGTAATGTTGCAATGAGAAAACTTTTTGTAATGTTGCGATGAGATCATATCTTCTTGTAATGTTGAGACATGATATTATTTTCTTGTAACGTTGCGATGAAAATTTCATAAGAATTTTATTAATTACTAGCAGTAGAGCCCGGCGTTGCCCGGGGATGTAACAGTAAGAGATAGATCAAGTATCGACCGTCATAAAGACTGAAAATTAAAATTGACAAAGATTATTGTTGACGAACACGCATGTCTTAATTAGTTTTTTTTGTTTGTTTTTTTGTTTTTGTTTTTACGAATTGGTCAAACCCAAACTCAAACAGAAACATTGTTTTCAATCGTTATGAGTCTACCGATTGAATAGAATTTTATTATAAACAATTGTCTTGTAAATGGTATTTTTAAAGCATTCTGAATGTAAAAAAAAAAAAAAAAAAAAGTGCAAGACAATAAGAAACGCTACCTGCCAAAAAAAGTGAAGTTTTGTTGAAATCGGTTGAAAAATGTAGGAAATCCGATCCCATATATAAACGAACACACACACACACACACACACACACACACACACACACACACACAACCTGGGTTTTATAATAAGTATAACTCGATATGAGTTGTACCTCTTTCATTCTCGCGATGCCTCTTAATCGTGTTTTCAAATTGATTTCGTGCAAAAACAATTGTGTTTTTCCAATTTGTTGCGCTGTCAGAACTACCGCAAGGTAATTTTACATAGTCCTGTGAAGTT